CTGCGTGGCTAGCGTTTGGTGCTTCAATCTTTATCCATTATTGATGACAATTTTGCAACACCGTGCCGAGAAAATGGTTGCAGAACAGAGTTATGCAGCAACTCATACATATGTATGCAAATCGGCGTCATCGTCGCACCACCATTCCCTCGTCTTTGCAAAGGTATTATTAGATAAGATGAGGGGGTTAGAAAGTCTTGGAATGTTCCGATCGGCAACAAATCTTTGAAAATAAGTTTGAAAATAGCAGAGTAAGAAGTATAAAAGAGAATTTCTGTGGCATTTGCTTACCTATTTTCTGCAAAAAAAAAACTTTAAATGGGCTCAAAAACTATTCAAACAAAGAACGCGCTGACAAGTAAGTACCTTAAGTCATAGAGACCCGATTTATAACTGATTTGGTTTCTGATTAATTTATTGTAGCGCACCTTTGAGTGCATAGTAATAAACAAATAAATAAATGAATAAATAAACCGTTCTCAGGCGTAATAATGTAAGCATGTCTAATCAGGAAAGGATAATACGACGAACTGGCCATATGCAAAGAGACATACACCGTTTGGATGTGTTTTTGGACGCTGATCTCGAATCTGCTTTCCAAATCTGCCAAACGATTTTCCGAATGGAGTTATGAAGGAAAGTAGTGCAGCGGTAGTAGTCCGGGTTCACGTGCAAGACGTCGTGGGATCGAATCCCTAATTGATTTTATGTTTTGCCTCTGCAGCAACACGGTTGAAAAAGATCCCGAACTAGGTTTCTTGATTAACACTTGCCCATACTTACCGGCACGAAGAGTTTGCGAGAACTTATTAGTGAGCGCACGGACCCTATGTGCGGCTATTAGAAAAAACTTGCTTCTGTCTCCTCCCGAACTCTTTGCATCGGTGGTATGGGCAAGCGGTGACCAAGAAACCTAGTTCTGAGCCGTTTCAGTCAAGGAATATATTCCGCGTCCTCTTGCCCGTGAGCGGGGACTGCTACTACTGCTCTGTTTTGCTCCACAGCCCCATTCACAAAATCGCCAAGCAGATTTGGAAAGCAGATTTGAGAACGGCGTTCGAAAACGCATCCAACGGTGTTGCCCATTGCTGGCCACTTTAACTCACCATTCCTTCCTGATAAGATCTCCCAAAAGATAATGGAAGTGAGAAAAGGCAAGATGGATAATTAATTGCATAAGTAGGAGGCAGGGAAAGCTTCCAATCTCGTTTGATGCGTTTACCGACATCAGTAGTGGTTTCAGATGGCGTCGTGCTGCACATTAGCCAGAAGTGCCCCGTCTGCGAAACCTCCACTGCAGACGGCTTCCACCTTTGACGAATTTGAAACGGATTTCGATGGAGTGCGTAATTGACCTACCTAAATAATCCCCTAGCTGGGCTTTTTGTTTGTGAGCTCTCGCTGTTTAGGCTTGTATGCAGTCATTTCGACTGTCCACCTGGCGGTTTCTCGAAGATCCGCAATCATCGGTTCCAGCAGCCGTTTTTGCCATTCTGTCAGTGATTTTCGTTTTTGGTAGCGTTTTTGGTGAGTTTCGATTTTCTTCACAATTTCTAGGTTTTTGTAGGCTCGAAATTTTTGAATTTTCGTTACGGAAACGATTTAGGGCTGATACTTGGCTCAATGCCAGAATTCCAAGAAGATCCGAGCAATGCTTCAGCTTACCATGCGATGCACGCCAAGACCAGTGAGGTTGGTGGACCGCTACCTTTTTCAACATTTCAATGAATTATTTGGCAAATGGGTCTCGTTGCCCATTTCCAAGATTAGGGCCATTTCCTCAGTGCTTACTTGTGAATGCTGCTTATACGCGCGTAAAATCAATAACCATTCCAAAGTACATGGCTAAAGGAGCGAGCTGAAATGTGATATACATTGTTCAGACTTTGTTGCCTAGTATGATATCATCTTTCATTTTCCTATTACAGGCGGAGAAACTTCACAAATTCCTTCCTTCGGTCACAAAAAACGACGACTTTCCGGATTTCGTATATAAACCGACTGACAATCCAAATTTTGCTCTCGTATTGCTGGAATACGTCTGCATCGGGTGGTTCACGTTCGAGTACATAATAAGGTCAGTTTCTTGTCTTTCATACACTTCTTGCTCTCCGAACTTTCTTCTTCTTCCTACTGTTCTCTCAACTTTTTCGGGTACAGCTCTTCTGCCAGGGCTTTCTTATAATATCGGCTTCATGCAACGGCTACACGCAGGCCGGAAACAGTTGACTTTAGGCCGTTCTAAGCTCCACGTTCTGGCCGATTCTTGAACGGTAT